CTTTTGTTTCCACAGAAGAAAAACTATGGATCAAAATTCATAAAAGATTAGATTCAAACAGGAGAGACTTCTTATTAGGAGAGGTTATAGTTCATCAAACCACATGGCCATTCCATCTAAATTAACTTATAAGACTAACAAATATCTTTCATTTGCTAAGTTATAACCTGACAAAAAAAGGACACTCCCCATAGTTAGGGGTGGGGCAGGGTTTTGATTTTGTCTTCCAGGAAAATAAAATCAACTAAGGAATCTGAAGACCACTGGACAAATGAGACATCTGAAGAAGAAGGACAAAGCATCCAGAGAAAATGCCTTAAGAAAAACAATAAATTGGCTTAATGGAATAACACATTTATAACAGAAAAAATCCATAAATCTCAAACATTTGTTTGTGCTGTTTTCTATAAACATATAAGGCAAGTAGTCTTTTTGTAGTCCCAACTCAGTTAAAATTTAATCCTGGCATTGGAGTTGGAGGGTGGCTCTCTCCTAAACCTACACATGCTTGTTGAAAGAAAACCCAAAGTCTCTGTCTCGTATCAGAAGAGCCACCTGGTACAGGACAGAAGAAAGCCAAAATTAAGAGAGTATTCTATTGTCACGAATCTCACAATTCCTTGGATTTATTTTGACGCTTTAAAACTTTTTAAATGTGTAAGTACTATTTCAAAATTTAAAAGATTAATACACACATATAAAGTTTTTTTTGTGGTATCAATGGTCATATAGTATACTAACTAATTCTAGATTTAGGCTTCATCAAGCTTCCTGTACATGATTTCAGGCATGAGTCTTAAGCAGGTAATTAGGAATTAAACCTGTGTATCCCAGATGTATTTAATAGATTGTGGTCCTTTAACCTCTCAGAGATCCGCTGCATATGACATTTAAAATGCTTAAGTTTTCTCCAATGAATCATGATCATTTCTAATAGCGACCTTTGAAATTTGCAGAAGGATGATGGGGCCCCACAATGATGATTCTGTCTGAATTGTGGTTATGTCACTAGGATGACAAACACCACCCAAAAATCAGCTTTGGACTATAAACTGCTCAGGTCAATTTCAAGGTGGTTAGTTAAGATGGCCCAGCCTCATGCACTACTCCAGCCAGAACTTCAGATAAACCCTACACTTTCCCATCATACCACATCTGAACAACAACTCTCCCAGGACTTCATCTTTTTAAAAAATTTTTTCCGGGTCCCCTAGAGATTCTATCACCATCAGACATCAGGAAGTAATTTTAAGAACATGACACCCACATGACACCCACCAAGAGGTGGGGTGGATAGTTTTTGGTCATTCGGTAGAGGTTTGTCATCATTTAGAGTGGTTGGTTACATGTTGTTGTTGGTCAAGGAAACAAATTAGAAAAGGAGATTAGATTCAGGGATTTCATTCTGAAAAGAAAAAGAGGAAATATAAGAAAAATAGAATAAAAAGGCATATTATTGAATCTACTTTTAAACTAAAAGGTAATTACTAGTCTCAAATATTTTACATTGGTATGGATTTTTTTATATTGATAAAATTTAAGGTTATTTTTGTTATAGTGTATATGTTTCTACTCTTGTTTAAGATATTTTAATATTAATAAAATTTTAAGGTTGTTTTTGTTATACTGTATATATGTTTCTACTCTTCTTAACATATTTTTGTATATTGATACACATTTAAGGTTATTTTTGTTATACTGTATTATATGTCTCTATTTCTTATTTAAGGTATTATACCTATCAGCTCATTTAAAAATGTAAAATAAAGTTTTGGTCCTTGAAAACTATTTAGGATAATAAAGAAGTACAGTTAGTAGTTAGTCATTTATAACAATCAAACTGATAGTCATGTTAGGTATGTTTTCAAAGTCAAACAGAGACATATTTTAAATAGGTAGAAGATCTTCAAACACTTCAAAACCTACAGAGTATGGCTTTAAAATGTTTTAATAACATTTTAATAACATAAGGCTTTTCAGGACAGTGACTGCTCCTGACAGCAACAATTTACTTTAAAAAAAGATGATGAGCATTGAAGAATCTCCATTTGATTTCAATGTAGCAAAGCTAGCCATTTGGTCAAGAAACTGCCCTTGCCTTGACTGCTGACAGTATGCCGTCCAAACTGAATAAGCAGGACACAAAAAGACAGCAACTGCCGAATTTTGCCAAGACAAGGTGGGACATTCCTTCAACACTTGCTTGACAAAAAATTCTGTCATATAATCTAGGCCTGTAACCAAAGACAGATGCCCCATTTTTGTGGAGGAAACTTGGGATGAATGTTCAGAAATGTCTCTGTCATTTCTACAGTTTGGAAGTTGTTTGCTTTTTACTTCATGTTTACTCAGGTTATATTATATCCCTCTCAGGTCTCTGATGGGGATAAAGACTAGATAGTCACAGTTACAGTTTTCCTTACTTATGACAGAAAGTAAGTTAGACACAAAACTTTGGACTCATCAGGAGAAGATAAACAATGGAATATTTTCTCTGGATTTGCAAATTATAAATGGACTGGACATTGTGAATGTAATTCTTACTTGAAAATTGTTCTTATTGTATGTAGCTTCATTTGTGAAGGTTAATACCTTTCCTTTTTATTTAGACAATACCTGATAACTTGTTTTTATTGTACACAGTTTTACAGTGTTAGAGTTAAAACCCTTCCTTTTTATTTAGACAAAGAGGGGGAAATGTTGTGGGAGATTTGCTTCTGTTGCTGCCGCAAAATGCCAATGGAGTCAGACCTTGGTTCGAAGAGCAGAGGTCACACTAAGCTGGCAAAAATGGGCCATAGAGTTTTTCAGAACACTCAAAGGAAGCTAGAGAGACACACAGGAGTAATAAGGAGGGGTGAGGAGAGATGTGTGGGCCTTTTTGATTGGGGAAGGTGGAGAAGAAAGTAGGTGATTGCTTCTCTAGTCTCTCAGGTTTTTTCCCTAATAGTTAACTCCTGAGTTTTACTTTGGAATAAAACAATAAAAAAGTGACAATAAATCTTTATTATCTTTTCTCACTTTTCTTTTAATTGTCCAGTAATTACTGGAATATCTGTGAGGCTGAGACTGGAGATTCACCACAAGTTTGAGGCTAGCATGGACTACACAGTGAGCTGGAGGCCAGATTACTCTCTAGAGTACAAAACCTCATCTCAAAACAAAAACAAAGAAAAATAGATCATGTAAACCAAATCATTGTATAATAAAAGAAATAATACATTGACTTACCTGCATTGAATTTTAAAGGGGATATCCAATACATTTTGGTTTTGAAATACCTGAATTCTTCTACCTGAGCCACTAGCAATGAAATATGGGATTTGGGGGAAAGATACTTGAACTTTCTGGTCCTTGGTAAAATTAGAATGTTAAAAAATTAATTCCAGAGTTATCCAGAACTAAAATCCTGGGCACATCAGAATTTGCTTCAAAGAATACCATATTTTTTCCAACCTCATCTGTGTGTATTAAAAAGTATTAGAATGAGTCAATGTAGTTCTTTGTTTAGTTCTAAGAAAGAAAGTTATATATAAATACAGATGCCATAGAAAATGTCCAATAACTCCATACACTTCCTCCTTTGTGTTCCTATAGTGGCTTTTGCACATATCTCTATGATATGGGAACAACTTTCCTTAGGAACTATGGCTTATGGGCCTATGAGTGTCTCCTCTAGGATCTGTGATACTCTCCAGTAAAGTGAGTCCAGAACACATTGTTCCTGTGTGAGGCAGGGGTCTGCATATACAGTAGGAAATTAATAAGTGTTTGCTGAAGAGGTGAGTGAAACGTGTACCTGATGCCAGGATGAGATTTTGACTCATCTTTCAAATGATGACTTTAAGTTTTATTTCTTTTTGCCTAGAGTCAAAATTTAGTTGATTTGTTGTGTATTTGTTGACCAACAATTTAAGGAACACTTGGTAATGTCTGCAAGCTGTCTTATTTCTGGTTAGGTTATTGCTAACTTAGTTTAGTTATAAAAATGAAAGAGTGGCTCATGTTAGTATAAATCAAAAGCTTTATATCTGTCTGTGAAATGAGGACTCTACACAAGGTGCCTTCCACTCATCCTGGGTGACGAGGCAAGAGGAGGGAGGAGCATTAGCACTGTCCACTTCAAGGGTGGCTGGAAGACTTTTTTTAGGAAGCCCAGCTAGACAGTTCCATAGTTAACCAAATTAATGTGTCATATATCTTCAAATAGGGGTTTTCTCATAATTGTCTTTTTCAGTTCCAGTTCCCTACAGAAAATATTATATCATACTAAGGTCAGGGTCAGCATCTCTCTTCAAGCTCAGTTAGGAGGAAGGCATCACTTAGCCTGACTGTTGGAATCCATAGCTGGAATCTACATATGCCTATTTCCTAGCTCTGTGGTGCACATTCTAGAAGCTGTAAAACTGCTATGGGGAATGCAGAGACAGACTGTGATGGATTGTTTTTCTTGGTTTGGAGAAGACTGGAAATAAATCGATTTTTTCCATTTTATATATTTTATGTCATTTTCTCTTGATATAGCTGAATGGCCAGACTCACAGTCAGGCTATTTTGCCTGTGAGTTCTGGTAACATGAGCAGCTGCCTCACTCTCATTGTCTTGTATAAAATCTAAATTAATGCATCCACAATCTTTACACACCCTCCTAAGGAAAGCAAAGAAAAATTCAGTAAGGGCCAGTGGCTTTAACTGCAAGCAAACACCCTGCTGTTCCCCTGCCTTGTTCCCTACTGGCTGCCTTTCCTAGAGTAGCTGTGACCCAACGGGTACTCTGACACAGACGTCCTACATTCCACACTACTAAGTCCCACAGGAAAGACAAAAGGTGACCCAAGTATCATTTATATATGCCTTAGTCATGCTGTGACCAAGGCCAAGCCATTAAATGGCCACATTTAAACATAAATAAATAGAGACATTGGGAGTTAAAGTAAAATCAGGTCATTAGGTAAAAATAGATTTCAATAAAGGTAAAATGTCAGCATTAAAGAGCATACCGCAGTACCCTGGGGTTCCACACACTGTCTTCATAAGCACTTGGTGTTCCACAATTTTAGAAAGTCCAAAATCAGCTAGAAACACAAGAGAAGAATTTAGTGTGCCAAGATTTTTCTCAGCTTTTACAAGTATTTCTGTTTTTCAAAAACAAAACTAATGCATTTGTTTACTTCTGATCTGATGGTGGGAGGGTGTGGGTGGAAACAAGTCACTTTTCTGAAACTAAAAAAATAGTAATTTATTTCTTTAACTTGGAAAAACACGACTCACAAACACATTTACAAATAATTTATGATGCATGCTTTTTCCTAAAATCTCAAAAACATTAAAGACATGTAAAGAAATTCTCTTAAGAACTGTAACTGTCATGTTTATAATAAGAATTCCTGAGAGTCATGTGACAGAGAATACAGGCTTAGTGATATAATTCAGAGTCTTCAATTCACTGGCAAAATAAAGTACAGATTTTCATAGATGCCATGGAAATACACAGAAATGTCAAAAACTTGTCCTTTTGAAAATAAATAACATCAGTTCCCAATGTTTAACAGATAATAGTTTATGCTCATATAATGAGTAAAGTCTTTTGGGGCAGCCCAAATTCTTTCTATTTATTCCTCTGTAGATTACCTAAGTAAAATATTATCCAAGTTG